GTGGACGGGCGCCGCTGGCGATGGGAAGAACGGACTCGACAACGGCAGCGGCGCTGGGCGAGATCTCCCACTTCTACTTTGGGGGCGGGGGTGACGCGGGCGGCAGCCGCCAGCTGACGGTGACGAACGTCCTTCTGTACAACCGCCTATTGCGTGCTGGCGAACTGCGGGGCCGTCATTCTGGGGAGGCGGGAGCCGGGGGGGATCGCGCGTCCCTGCCTACCACCCTTGAAGTAAGTGGAAGCAACGGACGCAACAACGGTGATGTCGGCTGTCCCCACAGAAAGAGAAACGGCAAATAAGCCCACGTCAGGAGCGGAGGCGGAGAACCGCGCAGGGGCAACGGATGCGGGTGCCGCTGTTCACGGCGGTGGGGCAAACCAGCGTGGGGGAGCTGGTGCGGGGGGAGACGTTCGTGCAAAGGCCGCGGGAGCAACGGATGCGGCGTCCGCCCTCGCGTCCCGGAAAAATGGCAGTGAGATTCTCTTGCAGGCGCGCAACGCTGAGGATGGCAGTGTGCGTGGGCGCCGGGCGCTGCTGCCGCTACTTCTGTTGGGCTTGTGGGTGTTTGCGACCTTGTGAGAGGTGTGTGCGGCTTCACTGCGGGCACGTGGGCCGTCTCCCGCGGCGGACAATTTAATTTTTTCTTTTCATTGCTTCAGGGGTAATCCGCACGGATATACTTTTTTTAAATTTTTACTCTTCTCTGTTTAACTGTTTCTTGCTGCACTCTCTCTTTTTGGGGTGCCGTGTGCGTCCCGCCTGGCTGTTGCTCTCACACCCGCAGACACGCCGACGACGTCGGCCATTTCTGAGGCCCTCGCCCGCTGCACACACGAAGAGGGGGCGCTGGGGGAGTGGGACACACCACTTTGTTTTCCCTTTTTTTAATGCGTTTGCGGCCAGGGAAGGCATACGCTCACGACGCCGCACACCACAGCCACGCCCTGCCGCTTTTTTTCTTTTGTTTTTTTCGTTTCTTTTTCTCTTCTTCCCACTCTCTGGGCTTTGTGGGAGTTATTTATAACATCTTCTTTTATTTCTTTTTCTCCGCTGGGGGGGGGTCTGCTGCCGCCGTGTGTGCGCCGCGGGCATCGCTGCCAGCCGGCTGTGCTTCCTGCTGCGTCTACGCGTCGCCCCGTGCTCGCTTTTTTGCCCCAACAGCGCAAGTAGCTTGTCAGTGCTCTGCAAGGATGGCTTTGGCGATGGCACGACTGTGACTGTGCGTCCCGCGACCTCCATGCGGACGTGGTGAGGGTGCCGTGTGTCTGCCTGCGTGGTGTGAGTCGCGGCGTCCTCGGATGGATGCGTGTCGGCCGTGCTTCGCGCTCTGTTTGGGGCCGCCTGACTCGGCTGCACGGCGCCTGCAGTGCGGGGCGGTGCAACCTGCCCTCAGGGCCCTTCTTTTCCCCTGTCATTTTGCCTTCGGTGTAGGGCCGTTGGCCCGCAGCCCCCCAGTGGAGGGTCATTCCCTTCGCCTTTTCCTCTTCGCGCTCTGCGTCCTCGGCGGCGGGGGCCTGGGCCACTGCGGCGGTGCGCACTGTCTGCTTCCGCAACTTGCTGTGAGTGTGTCTTCTCTGACCTTTTCCCCCACGACTCTCTTTCCCTTTCTCTCTCTCACGCGCACAAGGAAGGAGACC